CTTAGAGAATTTTTCCATCTCTCCAAATATTGTAAAACTCTATGCTGGCGCTATATAATTACCAATTATAATATATGTTGCTGGATATAAACTGTATATATAAAATGATGTGCCTAGGCTAGCTATAGTTGCCCTATTAATATGCCACAGTCAGTGAAATGCTGACTTGTTTTGCATGCGGAATACAAGCTGTCCGTGACAGTCAGATGTAGATGCATATTATCTGCTGTTACCTGTTTATTGCACCTGCTGTTCTTGGAAGTAACGTTTTTCATGTGGCTAAGTTTATAATTTTTCTTTCTGTGATGTGTTTCGGTGTTGTAAACTGGCAAACTTCCGTCTCCTGCCAATGCTCTTTTTGATGTAAGCAGCTGCAATTTTGTGATATAAATGAAGATAAGGTTATACTTCTACATGTCGAAATAACTCGTTTTTTTTTTTCCTTAAAGGGACATTGCACACACGCATGTTTAAGTGTTTTGTGTGTAGGGGGCTTATCACATTTGTGATTGTTTTAGGAAGCGCAAATTTCAATAGAAATTGGCACTTTTTTATTTTGAGAGAGAAACATTACCTGACGACTGTCAACTAGACAGCCAAGGAGGTTTTCCTTCTCTTGTCTTAGATCCACGGAGCTAAAGCAAGTGGCAGCCTGTCTTCCCCACTTGAGAAGCATTGGACATGTGCTTGCCACTTTGAAATATAAATATATATATATATATATATATATATATATATGTACTTTTTTTTCAATTGAGTGTTCCTTGAACAGCGTAGGAGGTTGTTTTATGACCGTTATTATGTATAACGTATGAAATGTTCACTGAACTGTGAATTTACAGGACTTTAACCCCTTAAGGACCAAACTTCTGGAATAAAAAAGAATCGTGACATGTCATACATGTCATGTGTCCTTAAAGGCCCTCTTTGAATGCACAGCTCCCAAGTGCCCCTCTTTTGGAGGAACAGTCCCTATTCTGGGTACAAATCCTTCTCTTTTCCATTCTTATTTCCCCATTTCTCGGAGTTCCATATTGTTGCTGTGTATAACAGAGTTCCACATCAATAAGATTCACAATACTGTGACTCTCAACTACATGAATTGTGTGTCAAATTGTATAAATTACATTTTAGTTGTATGAAGTGTTATTAGTAAGTCACATCAAATTTCTCAGCCTAGCACCCCAAGTGGCCACACCTCACACCCCAAAATTAAAGTATTCCCCTTTGTCCAGTTGAAATGTTGGGCGGTGTGGAATGTCTTACACCCTTTAATGTATCTTATCTCCCCTTTGTGTCTTACACTCGCTTTAATGTATCATACTCTCCCTCCAGCCCTCTTGCGTGTTTCTTACTCTCCCCCCAGCCCCTTTATATGTATCTTTCCCTTACTTCCTTGCGTGTCTGCTTATCTCCTTGTGCACCGTGGCCTCACGGACCGTGGCAGAAGGTATTCTTTATCTTCTACCTGATCTGACAGAAAGCTGCTCCCAGTGAGCAGCTTCCTATCAGACAGATTAGATCCTACATGAAGTGACTGGCAGTAGGTGGAGCGCTTTGTCACCGCCTCCTGATGGTCATCCAGACATTGGGGGGCCGCCTTAACCACATTATGGTACCGCTGGTCCTGTATCTGAGCTGTCGAATTTTCCTAAATCAGCCATTTTGGCCTTTTTCCCTTTGAGAACTTAAAGTGAATGACAAATTTAGGGTCAGAATGTCTATACTGCTTTCAGGTTGGCTGCTGTGCCCTTAAATTTGCAGTTCACTTTGAATTCACTGTGAACAACCACAATAAAGCTGGCATGGTATATCAGCATATCTATGTATAGAATAACATTTTTGGAAATATGTGGAAAATGGGTCTTGATATTCACTTGGGATTCCCAGTGATTCACGCTATAGTGATAGTCAAGCTGCTACAACATACAAAATTACCAAAAGCAGTTTTTCTTGTTTTGATTTTTTGGGGTTTGTCTTTTTTTTAAACCTACTTTCATCTTTCACAATTATATCCAAAGTAGTATCACATTTCTTGAGTAACCAGAGCATAATCTTTCTTGAGTAACATCCCAAAATTATAACCTTTCACTAAATAGAATTCAATCCAAATTAATGGAAAGATTTATTACTTACGCATGAGGCTGGACTTGGGCGTTCCTCAAATTTGGCAGAGGGAAAATAACCAAACTCTAAACAACACTGTAGCAGACTCCATTCCCTTGTGTTCAGTTGTCCGTACACCCTTGTTTATCTCCCGAATGACTGGTGTGTGATCCCCCTTATTATGCCCCAGTGAACACAGACCTCCCCTGGCTGTTAACCACAAATTAGCAAATTGACAGATTAACTTGCGTGCTTTCCCTGGGTGTCTCCCGAACACAGGCAGCGGTACATAGCCATCGAACGCCTGGAACTATTTTCGGCCACACGAGTCCGCGAACCCAGGCGGTGTGTGTACCGCTGCCCATTCAACTTCCCGACCATCTAGACGAATGACATTCGGGAGATGTGATCTACCGATTGGGGGGAACATTCACTCCATTACGCCAGGGGGAGCGTTCATCGGTGGTTGCACAGGAACCCCCGAAAGCACGGTCAGTCAAAACTTTATTCGAACACTAATTTTGTTCTAACAAACCGATCTGAGCACTTTTTGGATATGTTGTGCGCTCGGGTCAGAGCTATGATTTTTGTGGGGTTCCTGTATTCCTTTTCTTGTATTTTTGGGGTATTGTATTTGTATTTGAGAGATAATTGAGTTACCCTAATTTCACTGAAATGGTCAAGGTAGTTGGACTAACTCTTTAAGTAGTATCCCTTTCAGTATATATGGCTCTGTGCCACCAAATGTGGCTTTTGCAACATATTACATACAATATATTCCCCTTCCCAACCCCCAAAAAAAAATATTATGAATCCTGTGCTACTTGTATAATTATAACAATAATAAAACAATAGACAGACAGAGGGTTGCAGACCATGATATAATTTTGAGATTAATATTAAAAATGTACACTCTGGGCATATTACGAAAGACAGTTGTTAAATGTGTATTTTTTTTAGAATTATGACTAAGTTAAAGGAACACTATGGTGTCAGTTATAAAAACATGTATTATTGACACTAAAGTCAGTGGTGTATCCTGGTTTTGTGCTGCCCTAGTCAGGACAAAACTCAGGTGCCCCCCGCCCCACCTTCTAAACACACACAAACACAGTCAGATACAAACACAGTCAGACACAAACACAGTCAGACACACAATCACTCACATTAACACTTTTTTTTTTAAATTTAACCCCCCTGCCCCAGCCTCCTTACCTTTGGGAATGCTGGGGGGGTGTGGGGTTCTCTCTCTCCCTGTGGGTCCAGTGGCCGGCGGTGAGGGAGCTCTTCCTGTGAGCGGTCTGCTCAGCTCCCTCGCGCGCCGCAGAGTGAGACTGGGAGCCGGGTCGATGACGTCATATTCCGGCTCCCAGCCTCACTCTGCGGCGCGCAAGGGAGCTGAGCAGACCGCTTAGGGGAAGAGCTCCCTCGCCAGCCGCCCGCCCATCAGCCAGCGCCGCCCAGCAAGTCAGTTAGCTGCAAGGCTAACTAGGCATTTGCCCTGGGCATTTGGGTGTGGCGTTTGGGTGGCTTTTTCGATTCTGTGTCCCCTTAGATCGCTCTTAAAGTTTTACTTTACTTTTTTCCCTTGCTGCAGCTGATCCCACCGCCGTAGTGGAGATCACTTCTGATGATCTCAGACAATTTTATCTTTTCCACAGGACAAGCTATTGTGCATGTGCAGCAAATCACTCTGCCAATCAGTATCTCCTAATAGAGATGCATTGAATCGATGCATCTCTATGGGTAACGTTCAGCACCTCCATGCAGAGCGTAAAAACACTTAACGCCAGTGCTTTACTGACATGGGAAGCACCTCTAGTGGCTCTCAGAGGAATTACCACTGGAGCTGTTACTAGACACCAATGTAAACACTGCATTTTCTCTGAAATGGCAGCGTTTACATTAAAATGCCTACAGGGAATAATTATACTCACCATAAGGACTACATTAAGCTGTAGTGGTTCTGGTGACTATAGTGTCCCTTTAACGGATATTATTTTTTGTACTGTGTTCTAAAGGGTTGAAATTTAACAATAAATGAGACAATTGGAACTGTTTATCTTTACACAGTAGCTGGAGTTCACCATCTATAAATATAGAAAGTTAGTGCACCCAGGGGGGCCGGGTGGAGGAGGGGAAGTTAGTGCACCCTGGGGAGCCAGAGTAGAGGAGGGGAAGTTAGTGCACCCTGGGGAGCCAGAGTAGAGGAGGGGAAGTTAGTGCACCCTGGGGAGCCAGAGTGGAGGAGGGGAAAGTTAGTGCACCCAGGGGGGCCGGGTGGAAGAGGGGAAGTTAGTGCACCATGGGGAGCCGGGGTGGAGGAGGGGGAAAGTTAGTGCACAGAGGGTGGAGGAGGGGGAAAGTTAGTGCACCCTGGGTGGGGAAGGTTAAATTTAGTGCACCCTGGTTGGGGGAGGTTAGTGCACCCTGGTTGGGGGAGGGTTAGTGCACCCTGGGTGGAGAGGGGAAGCAGTGCAGTGGGGAGGGTAAAGTTAGTGCACCCTGGGTGGGGAGGGTAAAGTTAGTGCACCCTGGGTGGGGAGGGTAAAGTTAGTGCACCCTGGGTGGGGAAGGTTAAATTAGTGCACCCTGGTTGGGGTGGGGGAGGGTTAGTGCACCTGGGTGAGAGGGGGAAGTTAGTGCACCCTGGGTGGGGAGGGGGATAGTTAGTGCACCCTGGGTGGAGAGGGGGAAGTAGTGCACCCTGGGTGGGGGAGGGGGGATAGTTAGTGCACCCTGGGTGGAGAGGGGGGAAGTTAGTGCACCCTGGGTGGGGAGGGGGGGGAGGGGGATAGTTAGTGCACCTGGGTGGGGGAGGGGGGAGGTTAGTGCACCCTGGGTGGGGGAGGGGGGGGATAGTTAGTGCACCCTGGGTGGGGGAGGGGGGGGACATGCGCAGTTGCTGCTCCCTGAGGACAGGAATCCGGGCCGGAGCCAGGACAAGCACGGCTCACAGTGACGTCAATGGGCAGCGAGCCGCGAGGCCACGTGTCCCACCAACTCCCTCCAGGCCCCGCCCCCTGTCTCGCCTGATTGGCCCAGGCGCGCCGCTGACGTCACCATTCCGAACGTTGACCCGGCCGGGCAGGCGGGCTGAGCGAGCCCCGAGCTGGGAGGAGAGTGCGGGCTCCATGGGAATGAGACTGTGTGCCTGGCACGATCGGCAGCGGCATGGCCAGCCCGAAACCCTCAGCCAGCCAGCGGGCACCGAGCAGGGCAGCAGGGAGGCATTGATCCCCGTGCAGAGCCAGGTCGGTACCGGGCGGGGGGAGTATTGCAATGTGATACATTTTATATTAATGGACTAACTTTAACCCCTTAAGGACCAAACGTTCTGTAATAAAAGGGAATCATGACCTGTCACACATACCATGTGTCCTTAAGGGGTTAAAGTTTTTAAAATATATATTAAGTATTGTGTTAGTCCAATAAAAAAGGTGTCATTGCATAGTGCAATACTCTGGTATTTTGGCATCTTGTCTACTGGACTAATCCAATCTACACCATATATATAATTATTATATTCTGCTACAAAGTGCAGGGCTGCAATTTACTGTGCTGTCCATCATCATGGATTAGTGAAATATGTGCAGGGAGACATGGTGGATGTGGTCAGCATAGATTAATTTGGGAGAGGCTATCTGCTTCCTTTTTTTTATCTGTTGCTCACCATGGGGTCGGCTAAGGTTTTCGTGTACCAAGATGCTATGCCAGCAGTAAGCATGCAGCCAATAGTTTATTGCTTATGTGTACATGTTACAATATTTGTCATGAAGATCAGGTTTTGCAATCTGTACACCATCACCAAGTGTGAGTTCTTTGGAAGGTGTTACAAAATACTGCAATATGCCATTTGTACTGGTCTGCATCCCAGCACTGGTGTGGCTGCTTAAATCTAGTGGAGTGTATCTCCTTCACATTTACATTACGTTATCTATTAACTTGATATAGAAATATATTTGAGGAACTGAGGTGAAAGCAGACTTCTGGTGCAGAACCTTCATGGGGAGGTGATTGCTTCTAAAAAAAATAAAAAATAATAATAATCACACTAAGGAGCAGGTATAGTGTAAACAAGGCCAGCATACCGTTAACCTACAGAATGTAAGCTTGTTTGAGCAGGGTACTCTTCAACCTATTGTTCCTGTGAGTTTTCTTGTAATTGTCCTATTTATAGTTACATCCCCCCTCTCATAATATTGTAAAGCGCTATGGAATATGTTGGTGCTATATAAATGGCAATAATAACTCCTGAAACCTTTACTTGATTTTGCCATCACCTAATGCTCACTAGAATTCTCAGTGGGGGTCCATCATTGAAGAGGGTAGTTAAACTATAGAATGTAAGCTCATTTGAGCAGGGTCTTCTCCAACCTCTCGTTCCTGTAAGTTCTTTGTAATTGTCCTCTTTATAGTTAAAGCACCACAGAATCTGTTGGCGCTATATAAATGGCAATAATAATAATAAACTACTTTTATATACATAATTAATCACAACACTCTATAGTAGTAGTAATGGGTGGAGCAGCTGGTGTGACATGTGTTGTCGCTTATGATCTATGTTTAGAATAATCCATTGTCTCAATCCTGCAGCTTTAATATGTGATCTGCGCATTAAAGGTTTCAATGCACCATCCCTTACCTTTATACCATGCTCATTGGTATGCTTCACTGCCCCTGTCATTCATTTTTTTGCTGCAGTGAATGCTGCTTTATCTGTCTATTGAGTTAGCGCTGTTACAGATCTTTAGAACCACAAATTACGTACAGTCGCTGTCTTGATTGGAATCTGGCTAATTCACTAGAGTGCGGAGAACTGGCTAGGGATTTGCAAATTATTGCTGCTTGTTATGTGTTTCTTTTTAATAGGGGAAGGTTTATATTTTTGTCTACAATTTGCTTTTCCTTTTGTTAATAAAACCTAAGGTATCGAATCCAACCAGAATAAACATAAGATATTTTTGGGTATACATATGTGTATTTTAAAATGTTATGGCAAACTATGAAAAAAAAGAACTCAATATGAATTTCAGTTCCCTTCAAAAGTCAGTCCTGCTTTCAGACTGGCTGTTTTTGGTCCGCAATGCTTAATTTGCTTTGAATTCCTGATAATTTGCAGTCCAGTGAATAACTGACCGTATCGCCGACTTAAACTGGCAAACAATTTGCAAATCCTGTAAAGATCTGTAGCCCTGTTAAGAGCAAGATCTGGGTGTAGCAATTAATTTATTTTTGTCCCATGCATGTGAATATAGAAAACCTGGGCAAAGCAGTAGACTACGTGACTCACACGGCCGTCACGTATCTAGAGGAAATGTGTGACTGGCAAATAGCCAAGGTGACACAAATGATGCATGTGAATTAAAAACATGCCATCCAGATTGGAGCGTTGTGGGAAATGACCTATATAACTGTGACTTAAACGGGCATTACAGTTATTACTTTGCATAGTGCCACTGTTTGTTTATGTTATTTGTGTTGACGTCATTTTGTTTCTAGCATTGTAATGTTGGTAACCACTAAGGCTATGTAAGGCAGCTTGTTGACCACTTTGTCATCAGTGTTGCCTAGGATCTAACCACAAACACAGAAGCAGAAAATAATTCAGCAATAACATCTCTCAGATGAAAATAAAACTTCAATGCGGAATTCTAGAGCATTGACAAGGTGACTTAAAATTCTAGGTCACATAGCCATAGAATGTTCAAAACCTCAACTTGGCGAATAACCCCAAGTTTTAACGTTATTTTATTTTATGGCCTAAAAATAAAATACAAAGTACAGCTAGCATAATGTTAATAGCTGAACCTCCTCGTGCTGCATTGGGTTTTCTATTCATACAAAGCAAATACATGTCTTTGCATAATGTTCCCTAATAAAACTTAAATTTACTTATTTAAAACATCTGAGTGGTTAAAAAAAATAATTTACTAAACTTCAAAATGCAGTAAATTTAATGTATATAGTGGGAAAATTGAAGCTAAAATTGTTTATTTAGAAAACATTTCCATCGTTTTAACAACATTTTGCCATGTGGATTTTAATTTGATGTTTATTAGAAAATGTCAGGATAATGGGGTTAATGAACTGTAGCCTTCCACATGGTTGGTAGAAGTAAAGATGACTGCCTGGGTTGGCAATTTTGCCTCACTTGGCAGGTTCTGATCTGGCAGAATGCTTTTCTCTTGAGATAAGTAAATACATCTGTATATACTGTTGTAGACTTTAGCAGAATATTATGGTGCATACAATACACTATTTAGCGGTTTCTTTTTTTTCCTCCAGTTTGTATTTTTCATCTCTCATTTTGCATTCTCTTTCAGTGCTGTCACAGTGATTGCATGAAAAGCAGCATGGGGACGCCCGCCTCTGTAATAAGCTCACCTTCAGCTCCGTGGCAGACGCCAGAGCCACGTGCTCGGAAAAAGGCTTCTGCTAATATTTTCAAAGACATAGACCTTGTTCAGATACAGACTCTCTTCCGAACGAGCGGGGACGATTGTGCGGAGGAAAGAGCTAGGATAATATGTAATTATGCTGGGGATAGGCGCATTGCCGATGCATTGACCAAGCTGCGGCGAAAGAAAAGCAGTAAAAGGTTCCATCAGCCAGCACCCAAACTGAGCAATGACCGCATTGGAACACTATCTGTCCAGCATTTTAGTAAACTTTGGTATGATCACCTTTACTCTTTAACCTTTTGTACTTTATTATTTTCCTTTTCCTTATTAGAATAAAAAAAAAAAAAAAACTAAAATGCAAAAATTGCCTAACAGAAAATTCTGCTAATCTCCCAACACAGCTTTGGCCTAAAATTTGCAGTCCTCTCATTGGTTTTCGTAATGCCCCTGATGCCATTTACAGGGTTATCCATTAAACTCTGAATTGCAGTGAATTGCAAATCAGATTACAAAAATAGTCCAGCTGGGACTTTGGCAGAATTGGAGTGGAGGAGGTTTGTTAGTTTTTAATCAGTTTGTCTAAATGTTTCCATTTATATTGCAGTTGATTACAGTTCTGTGTGGAGTTTAGTGAGTAAACAGTGCTTAAGTTTCCATTAAACCACTCTTGTTACCCGAAAATCCCTAAGCGATTGACGGACTATGAAAGTAACAAACCAACTGAGGTCAACTTTGCCATTGTGCCTTTTTATGACAGAAGTTTAGTTAGACTTGTGCACAAAAGCGTTTTCTGCTCATGTGGACAAATAAAATGCCTTTTAATCTGGGCTAGAATGTATCGAAATGTCTGATATTTACATCTGGAGTTATTCAATTAATGCGACTCCATAGGTTCACCTCGGGTGGATCGATTTTCTTTTGGTGCAGATTAAAAGGCATTTTAGTCATACATGTAGAAGAAAAGAGTGAGGATAGCAGCGCCTTAAGGGTGTCCTCCAATCCAAATTCAGATAGGCGAATATGTAAAAGAAAAGTGGATAAAGTGCAGAATATAGTGTAGTATGTTGAAGTTCAGGAGAATTAAATAAAAAGTAATTCACTTAGTTTTCTGGAGCTGATAACTACTGTATACTTGGTGTCTTGATCCAATGGGGAAATTCCAGATTGTATAGGAACAAAAAAAATATATGTGTAGTATGTTCAAAACAGAATAAAAAAAGTTTGTGGATGTACACTCACAATCTCCTGAGCTTACTACTTCCTCTCAGTGATGCGCATGTAATGGGGTAGTCCACAAACTTAGGTGTACATGGGGTTCCTACTATTTGTTTAAATAGCAGCACATTCTCACCAGAGATGTATAAATAAAAATATAGTGTTCACTGTTAAAACAGGTATAAGTAATAAAAGGAGATGTACTCATAAGTGGAGAGCAAAAGCGGTTTTGCTCAATCTGTATGGCATAGGCGGTATCGTCGCCATGCTGGTACATTTGATTCATTCATACCACCTATAACCTATTTGTGTATAAATGTAAGTTTAGCGTGATAGCTGTAATGTTTGGAGTGCTCCTTCAAAACCAACAGACACAGCTGATTGTGAAAGATAACTACGCAAATGTTCTTTCACATGTGTTCCTTGAGTGTTTGACACCTAATTACTTACTTACACTCTCTCTCTCGTCCTGTACAGCATTAATGAAACTGGCCACAGAGGAAACACATCTACAGAGGAAGACTCTGATCAGCCAGCTGCTGCCGAGGATGCGAATGAGACTAGCGGAAATAAGAAAAGTGCAATGACCAGCCGCAACCCCAAAAACCTAAGGAATCAGCCTCAGAGGCGAATATCAGACTATTTGCACCAAATTAAACGATGAACTGGACCTCTACAATATCATCCATCATATTAAGTCTTCACGCTGCTACCAACTGCAATAAAACTGTGGGTGCTGCAAAAAGAGAAATCGTATGATGCTTCCATTTTTTGTTATTAGGTCATCACTGGAAATGTTAGGAGAGGAGTCTTTGCTGGATAACTGTAGTCTTCAGATGGGGAAAAATAAATCCTTTCAGGAAAAAAAGTTAATACTGCGTGAAAACACTGAAGTAACAGATGAGGCGTGCAAACACCAGCATGGGAATATCTTCTGCAACCAAAGCGTCATCGACTGTTGCTCTTTGCATTTCAATTATTTACACTGATGTACAATAGCTGCTGTAAATCTATTTAAGAAAAGAGGAAATGGGACATTGGAAGAAGAAAAAAAAAACATATCGTTTGTGTGTGGGTTTTTTTTTTTTTTTTTAAATCCCCTCCCCTCAATGTTCCCATTTCTTTCTCAGGCTAGGTCTTGCGTGAATCCCTACTCAAATCTTACATATTCCTATCTACTGGAATTTTTATTTTACTGTTCCATTAAAGTGGACTTGAGAATGCAATAAGTTTGTTTTTACTGGAGGCACAATATCTTATTATTTTAAATAAAACCAATGAAGATATCAGCCCTGTACATTCTTAGTGCAAAACCTAAGTTATTGAATTCATTAAAATTATATGCATTAACCCTTTATTACAGGTTTGTTTTTGCTCTGACGTTACATCAAATTCATTAAAATGGCACTGTAGAATCTCTATGAAATATAGACTGTGTTGGAGTTTCACTGAAATCCCAACCCAGTCATGAGAAATACTGAAATAAATTAGGGACTACTTTGGTCTCTGTATATTTCAAACTCCTGCCACTTCTAGACACTGGATGGAGCTACCATAATCTAGAAGTGTCAATCCCCCAGACATCATCTGTGACAGCTGGAGGGAATTTGATCTATGGAGGATCCCGTGCAATCCTCCGTAGAGCTCAATGCTGCACTCATGCATGCGTAAACGTACAGCAGTGATGGCTCCTGACTCTGAAGTGCCCACAAGGGACAGGTTCTGGTAAGCAGTACTCTCTATTTTCCTGGCCACTGGACCCCTGGCTGTGATTTCACTGTTGTGTGTCTTTGCAAAGTCCCCAGACTGTGATAGTTCCACTTTAAATATTTGTAAACCAGGAAAATTCATTTATTCGAAGTCAAGTGTAACATTAAAGCTGCCAAAACATAATGCATAACATATCTAGGTGTCTGCCTTTCTAACTTTGAGATGAAATGTTAAATTGTTAATTTAGTAAAACCTACAGTTGTGGGAAAATAGATGCAAATGCTCATAATTCTGGAGTGGGAAAGGAAATGTAACTTAAGACAATAATAATATAAAATTGGAGGTGATCATATTTAGTGGAGGTGCACACCGTTATATACAATTCACTAACTGAACACATAACTAATTTGGAGAATCTATTTTGACTTTAAGATCTGCATTTATTTGAGCGAAGAACACGACTAAAGTCATTTTGCAGTTTACTTACTCTGAGCTGCTCAACTGCACATGAGGGGATATTTATCGCGGCAACACAGGTGCTAATCTGGCTGCAAAGAGCTGAATCTCAAAAGGTGTTCTAGGGGTGGCAAAGGTGACTAACTTGTTTAGCAATTTGCTCTGAAAAGCCTGCCTGAAGAGTTCTGATCCGAGACAAGAGTCCGACTCATGTTACAGGATTGTTAGTTACTGTATGCTTTATTCCCCCAACCCCCCTTTCTTCAACCACATGTCAGTATGATATTGCTATATTCCAGAAATAAAGTTTCCTGAAACATAAAAGGATCAGATCTACTGTGTCATGACAATCGGCCCTGCTGATTTAAATGTGAACCTAAATGTCAGACTGGATTAAGGAAACCCCTCCAATTTCTCTATGTAAAGGGGAAAGTTGAATAGTTTATTCAATCACTGGGTAATTTCTTAGGAAGGATGGGGAGTTTCATTGATAAAATGGTCTGGCTTACTGTCTGTTTAAAGAGAGTTTGTCACAAACAAATTAGCAGTAGTTTTAACACCTTTGGGACTAATAGCATGTCAGAATCATATCAGGCAAGTTTCATAATATAAAAAAAAAAAAACAGGCCATGGATGTGGAGATTAAATAACTCCCTATGACCACTTCTCACGCAAACCCCCCCCCCACATTAAACAAATTACTGAAGTTATAACTTAATTGAATGCAATTCAATTCACACTTAAGACCCTTACCTTTGCACACACATCTAACACACTCATGTGGACCAAGCAAACATTTCATGAGAAAGGGAACAAAGCAGATGCCAGACAGTTATGTGAAAACATGAGAAGGGAATCTGGTTTGGTGTGCGGTAACTAAGAACATGCCTATTCTGGTCCTCTCACTGGATCCAGAGAAGGCTTTTGACTGTTTGGTTTGAATTGTTAAACGCATGCACTTCCCCACAGCGGTTAAAGCGTTCTATGCGGAGCCTAGGGCCCAGACCATCATGCCTCAGGCAACAGTACAAGGCAGGGGTGGTCCTGTTTATTTTGATTCTAGAACCACTACTGCAAAACATTAGATCCCATCTGGATGTAGCTGGTTTTAAAGTTGCAAACAAGTTTAAAGTCTGCCTACGTGAATGATATCCTGCTTACCCTTAACAAAACAACAGCTTCTATGGTCCCCTTGCAGGATCCACTAAAAAGAGTTCAGAAACATTTCAGGGTATAAAATACATTTGGAGATATCGGTGGGGATGCCTTTCCATATGACAGCTGCGGACACAACGCGCATTGGGTCCAAGTATCAAATTATAAAAGGTCTCCCAGACTTATATAAAATATTTGGGAATTACACTAACCTCTGGCCCAGCCAGACTGTATCAGGAAAACTTTTCTAAATGGATTATGATGCTGATTCAGGATCCTGATAAATGGTTAGACAATGTAATAATGAAAGTATTACTGCTAATTTTAATTTTCTTTCCTTATGGTCACTAGGAAATATTTCCATAACCTACAATATGCAATTGACAATTTTATATGGAAACAAAAACCAGTCATAGGATAGCTAGAAACGCACTTTATCACCCCAAACTGACTCGAGGCTTAGGCCTACCACATTTATACCTTTATTACATAGCTCAAATGGAATAAATAATAACATGGCTCTCACCCCCTGACATGAGAATAGACCTGGAGATAGATAGACCTGGAGTCTATTTACAGGCTCAGAGCTGCCCCAGTTCTGAATATGGGTAACCAGAGCAGACAAACTATTTTTACATAGTGATGTCGCGAATGCGAACTTCCGCAAATGTTCGCGAATCGGCGAACCGCCATAGACTTCAATGGGCAGGCGAATTTTAAAACACACAGGGACTCTTTCTGGCCACAATAGTGATGGAAAAGTTGTTTCAAGGGGACTAACACCTGGACTGTGGCATGCCGGAGGGAGATCCATGGCAAAACTCCCATGGAAAATTACACAGTTGATACAGAGTCTGGTTTTAATCCATAAAGGGCAGAAATCACCTAACATTCCTAAATCACAATCAATATGGATTGACACCTGACATATTGACACCTTGACATATGGATTGACACCAACGTGTCGGACTGTCGCAAATCAAGCGCCTCACTGGCATGTTGTTTCGCCGCTGGATATCGGCAAAGTGAGCCATGGCCGTGTAGGAACGCCTGAAATGGCCACACACCTTCCTGGCCTGCTTCAGGACGTCCTGTAAGCCTGTGTACTTATGCACAAAGCGTTGTAC